CATTCAGCCATGGGCAGAGGGATACAATATTTGTATTCCTAACACTACAGTGTCCCATTTTAGATTTTTTATTTGTGGTGGCTGGCTATGAAGTGCTGGCCAGCTGCCACAGGATTAAGGCACAAGTTAAAATGTTTATTTTTTTAACCAGTCCTGGATTTGAAGCATCTGGGCCAGATTACAGCCATCTGCGTTCACTCCGGCTGTAATCCAGACCAAAATCAGGCCCATTTAGAATTTGTTAAATTGTCTAAACCAGTGATTCCCGACCCAGTCCTCAAGTACCCCCTAACAGTCCAGGATTTGGGAATTATCCGGTTTTGTCTAAGGTGTTTTTAGAAAAAAGGCAAAAATTTAAAAATTTTTAAAAAAACACTTGAGACGCAGGAGGGTAATCCCTAAATCCTTGACTAGGAGGAGGTACCCAAGGACTGGGTTTGTAATCCCTGGTCTAAACAATTAATTTTGGAGTTTTAATTTGATTAATGACCTCTTCAAACAATGTTACCACTATTCATACATAAATTGGAGTTTCAGTTATGTAAAATAGAGCATAAAACCATATAACTTCTACAGCTAACATAGCAACAGTACTCCTACTATATTTACATTCAAATACTTAACTCGTGGTCTTTGAAAACAGAAGAGGGACAATTGTTTGGTTAGGATACTGCATGATACTGGTTAATAAAGGAGATGCTACAGACACATTCGGTTTGCACAGTTTAAGACATTGTCTTGAAATCTGTAACTTGGCTGTGCACATCTTTAAAAATAAATACCACTATTAAATATCATGATTTTTTTTTTATTACTAAATGATTTCTGCAGCAGATACTACTTAAGGAACCCAAAGGCCTCAGGTCAGCCAAAATTAAAGTTACAATATCTATAGCAACAGCTATCACAACGCCTAACAAGCTATCTAAATTGGTAAACAAACTTAATAGGGGTTTGCAAGCCAAGGCAGATACTTGCCTTTGGTGCCAGTAGGTCTAGCACCAGTCCTGATGCATATCTGTGCCATGTTATCAACAAGAGTACAAAAAGCCATTTACCAGACCACTGCCACAATACAAAGGAGCAGTCATTATTTCCAAATATAAATCAAATCCCCAAATGCGGTTGCTTAGTTCCTAATTTAATACCCATAATCACAGAAAATGTTGATTTAATATTTCTAATAACTTAGGGTTAAGAAAGGTCTGAAACTTTGGGAATCTAGCATAACGGGTTTGACATTAGTTCTAAATTATTTATTGAATCTTAATCCAGAAGAATAAGGAAAAGGAGTTGTATTGCCCAACTGTTAGCTTGACAACATCCTGTTTATCCTTTTAAAGCCAATTCTAAAAGTATATGGTTTAAAAAGACCTACGCCCTTGGCGTCCCACAGTAAGTAGTTAAACCACTTTCACCATTTCCACTTATCTACATTCCCCCAGAGCCATTGGCCTTCCTGCCAAAGTTCCCTTTCCACATTTGATATATACATTTTTGCCCAAGAACCATATATAACACACTTGTCATCAGAATTTAAAGTCAATCATTAGGGTTTAACAAAAAGCTCTAGTAAAACAAGAGCTCCTTTATTTTCAGGTAGAACATACAAAGATGTTAGTATGTTACCACCTGCAGCTACGTAGGTTGGCATGACAAATACATTCTTTCCTTAGGAAAATTTTGAGGATTTATGGCAGTGTCTTGTTGTTATGCATTTATAGACTGGTTAATGTGGATATTGTTATATAATGGTTTATAATTGCTCTGGCCTTTTTAACCTTAACAGGTGTCAGTGCTGTAGAGAATGAGGGTGGGAACTTTTAAGTAATAATTGAATCTAATAGTACAGAGAAATGTGGAGTGGTTACATACTCAATATGTAGAAATAAGGGTACAATTATCTGATTATTATGGATTCTGAGTAATCTAACTTTAGCTGTACAATCAACTGTTTAGAGCAGTGCTCTTAACAACTGCAATGTTCAGATAGTCAGCATTTTCTACCTTAAAGAGACACTATAGTCACCCAGACCACTTCAGTTCAATGAAGTGGTCTGGGTGCCAGGTCCCTCAGGTTTTAACCCTTCACATGTAAACATAGCAGGGTTAATCCAACCTCTAGTGGCTGTCTTCCTGACAGCTGCTAGAGGCGCTTCTGCGACGCTGGATGCGAAATTCGCATCCAGCATGCAGAACGTCCACAGGAAAGCATTGAGAAATGCTTTCCTATGGACTTTTAGCATGCTCAAGCGGCTTTTGCCACGCATGCGCATTCCGCTCGGGAGCTGACGTCGGTAGGGGAGGAGAGGTCACGAGCGCCGAGGGAGCCCGGCGCTGGATTAAGGTAAGCTGCTGAAGGAGTTTTGTCCCTTCGTCACCACGGGAGGGGAACTCTAAGAGTGAGGGTCCCCCAAGGATGACATAGTGTCAGGAAAACTGGTTTGTTTTACTGACACTATAGTAATCCTTTAAATTGTTATCAAAGTAAATGCAAGGAATGAAATAAAACAAACATTTTGTAAGGTTTTGTTTGGCGATTTGAAACAAAACTAACAAATCTGCTGAATAACTTTCCACTTTAATAGGTTTACGTTTATGCATATTAATAACATAATAGCTTCTATCCTGCCTTAAGTTTTTTAAATGAAAAATGAAGGCAACTTGTAAAATGCAAATCACACGGGCAAGCCTTTGATCTATATCACTGAACAATTCAGACTCAACTCCAGGGACACTCCAGTCATGTAAGACACTGCATGCATGTTATGGGGCAATTAATGTTCACCGCTTCTCCACCAAAGTCTGCCACATTATAGAGAAAGCAGACCTCGCTCTGAAATTCCTGCACACATGGCGTTCCCTTGCATTTCCTGGTATACCAAATCGGCACACCCCAAAAAATAAATCTGAAGAATCATACATACTCATGCACATAAATGCAAACCTACAGAAACCTACAGAAATAAGGAACATTTCTGGTTAAAGATATTTCACTATACAATATTTTTACCATTTGTGTTGTCTTATTAGTAAGGTCAACAAATCTGTTGATCCACATAGGCTGCTAGTGATGATTTGGCATCGAGTAACTCCAAGAGTTTGCACCTGCAAGCAAGGAAATTGCACAAAGTTGTGAATGGGTTTAAGTGGTTGCACACACTTCTAAGGCCACAGCCTTGAAAGTGTATGCAACCACTTAAACCCATTCACAGCTTGTGAATCGGAAGGGGTTTAGGTTACTGGAGTAGGAGTCGGTGGAAAGAAGTACCAACTCAAACAAAATTCAATCTATGGTCCAGTCTCATTTTAAATTAGAAAAGTTTTACTTATTGGGTCTGGTTAGAAGATAGTTTCTTAAACTCTGGCCATCTTATTAATCGTATAATTTTTAAGGGTAAACAAATACGTGGCATAAAAAGCCAGTCTGTCAAACCTTTGAACAACAAAAATAAAGATAAAAAAAAAAGTAAACAAATAAAATATTAGAGTGTAGTTTAAGTTTTAATGATAGATTGTGCGAATGTGTGCTTTGGTACGTATCTCTCCAGTCAGCTGTATTTACATACGAATGAGTAGTAGACAAGCCATAAAGTAATCTGCTAGTTCTCCCAAAATTTGGGTATCAAGAGTAAGTAATAGCTCCTAAGAGTAGTCGATCGAGTGATGGTAAGCACTCCAGAAATTCAGTTTCTTAAGAAAGGAAGTTGGACATGATAAAGAGGTATGAGAAGTGTTAAAGAATTGTGTTTGTCAACAGCTTTATATTCAGCATATTAGTCAACCTGGAGTTTTGGGGAGATTTTATTTTTTTCTTTACACTTAAAATGTTGACTAACACTCCGGCATATAGGTCAAATTGTAATATAATTATATTGTACATAATATAAGGAGTCAGAGTACCATAAATTGAGGAGTTTAAGCATTTGTGCATAGACCCCAAGGCCCTGCATAAAGCAATCCCCTCCATTTCTGAATGTCATTATATCTAAGGAAATGGGAATTGAGTATTTTAAAACGGAACACTTTAGTATTAAGAATACAAAGATGTATCGTTTTACATTGCAGGGCTAAGGGTACTGGGAACTGCACCCAGACTACTTAAATGAGCTGAACTGGTCTGGACGCCTATAGTGTCCCTATAATGAACTTGATTTTGCAAGCACAATGTATAGACCAGGCTTCCCCATACTTCGGCCCTCCAGATGTTGCTGAACTACAACTCCCATGATTCTCAGCATATTTTATTCATAGAATCATGGGAGTTGTAATTCAGCAACATCTGGAGGGCCAGAGTTTGAGGAAGCCTGATATACAGTCTAAACCAGGGCTGCCCAACATGTAGATCCCCAGATGTTGTAGAACTAAAATTCCCGTGGTGCTTTGTCATTCTAAAAGGCATGCAAAGCATCATGGGAGTTGTAGTTCCACATCTGTGGATCTACCTGTTGGGCAGCCCTGGTCTAAACAGACTTGAATGTGCCCATTGCATGTGAGTAATAACAGTTTTAGTGAATAGTACATTATATATTAGCCATATTTAGTGCCCTTTTTGCTTCCCTTCTAGAGAAATCCCTAACTTGTGTCATCTTAGGTAGTCTATCACTGTATACAGATGAAGAAACCAGAAGCATTGCGAAAACATATTATATTCTATCCATTTAAGACAGTGAGAAATCTCTAAATGAGATTACAACAATTGTTCAGTTTAAAGTAATATCATTTAGAAATACTTTGTTTTCATTATAGATTGATGCAATGTAAACAATGCTTTAAAATGACAATGTTGCAAAGACAAAAATAACAGGGCTCCTTTAATTGCTTTGAAATAGCAATAGAAGTGCTGGCAGACATAGTAACAGAGGATTGTACCATTCCCCTGAGCCAGTATTCGCTAGAATATTTTCAATACATTCACTGTGCATCTCCAGGTCGCCTCTACTTTTGCCTTTGTATTAACCTCCCACACAGGGCCCTGCCTGGAACAGTGAAGGATCAGTCGTCATGCTTATGACCTCATGAACAGTTGGCATGGAGACGGATGTCACAAGCTTTGTCTATCACTGGCTTCAAACAACTATGGGATGATAAGGCTGCAAACAAACAGGACAGGAATGTAATTAGTTAACAGACTCTGGATAGAGATGAGGTGTGGTGGGAATCTAAAGCTTACCAACAGTGCAAAGCTCCTGCAGGCAATGCTATAGCAAAGGCTCTAAAGCCCAATACAATGCAGTAGTGGGGGTTTGCAAAGTCTGTCATAAGTACATTGTGTCCTTATAAACACAGGTAGGCTACCACTACAGTAATGTAAATGGCATATTGTATGCTCAGATCACCAGCAGATGAATAATAGGCATTATCACTTTTATGACAAAAGGTTAGGCAATACAAATATATATTTTGACAGTCCAGGAAAGGCATCTGTCATGAATAGGTTAAGAACATTGATGTTGCACTGCTATAGTAAACAGTGGATTATAAAGCAGACATATTTATTAGTACTATATATAGATATTAACGAGGAACTGACATTTACTAAATTTTAGCATAACTTAAAAGCAAGCCTATTATCAGCTATCGGTTGCGCTATAATAGAAAATATTACTGATTTAATTTTTTTTTTAACCTGCTTCGCAGACCAACAGGGTTACTCACTAGTAAGAATTTAAGTGAGAATTTAACCCCTTAAGAACTAAGCCAAATGTACATGTTGTGATCAAAGCAAAACTTGGAATTTAAATATATGTCTGTTCAACCGTAATGCACCCACACTTATTATATATCATTTTATTCAGGGAAAACAGGGCTTTCATTTAACATCAAATATTAAGCTATGAAGCAATTTAATATGAAAATAAATAAAAATTGGGAGAAAATAAGAAATCTTTTTTTAGTTCTACATGACATTGTAACTGTGAATGTCATAATACTGTTTGCTTTTACTGCAATAAAATACACATTTTTATTCAGCAATGTCTCACATGTAAAACAGTACCCCCTATGTACAGGTTTTATGGTGTTTTGAGAAGTTACAGGGTCAAATATAGCACATTACATTTTTCAGTTTTTTCACATTGAAATTCACCAGATTGGTTATGATGCCTTTGAGACCGTATGGTAGCCAAGGAATGAGAATTACCCCCATGGTGGCATACTATTTGCAATACCTTGGGTTGTCTACTATTACAAATGGTATGCCATCATGGGGCTAATTCTCATTCCTGGGCTACCATATGGTCTCAAAAGCAACGTAATCAATCTGGTCAATTTCAATGTGAAAAAAACTGAAAATGCAGGCCTTGTATTTGACTCTGTAACTTTTGAAAACACCATAAAACCTGAACATGAGGGGTACGGTTATGCTTGGGAGACTTCGGTCACTTTCACTGACTATATCATTGTTGTAATAGATTTTACGGTTTTGAAACACTAATATTTGTGTTCAGCGAAGTCTTCCGAGTAAAACAGTACACCCCATGTATAGGTTTTATGGTGTCTTGGAAAGTTACAGGGTTAAATATAGTGCTAGCAAATTAAATTCCCCGGACTTTCGGCCTGGGATGTCAGGCAGGTCCCGCAAATTGTAATTAATAAAATGACCTAATTATGTAAAAATATTACATACATATATACCGTAAGTAGAATTATTACATACATACATACATATATTTTATTTTGTTCTATGTGTATTTTGATATCAATATCGAAATGCAGTTAGAACGAAATTACACATTTTTTTATATATATTTTTACATATTTAAAATATAAATATATAAATATATATATATATATATATATATATATATATATATATATATATATATATATATATATATATATATATATATATATATATATATATATTTATTAATTAAAGGACCACTATAATGCCAGGAAAACACACTCGTTTTCCTGGCACTATAGTGCCCTGAGGGTGCACCCACCCTCAAGGTCCCACTCCCGTGGCACTGAGGGGGAAGGAAGGAGTTAAACTTACCTCTTTCTCCAGCGCCAGGCGGGGAGCTCTCCTCCTCCTCTTCGGCTGAATGCACATGCGCGGCAGGAGCTGCGCGCGCATTCAGCCAGTCTCATAGGAAAGCATTTACAATGCTTTCCTATAAACGCTGGCGTCTTCTCACTGTGGTTTTCACAGTGAGAAGCACACAAGCGCCTCTAGCGGCTGTCAAGAGACAGCCACTAGTGGCTGGATTAACCCTAACATAAACATAGCAGTTTCTCTGAAACTGCTATGTTTATAAAAAAACAAAAAAAAGGGTTATCCCTAGCTGGACCTGGCACCCAGATCATTTTATTAAGCTGAAGTGGTCTAGGTACCTATAGTGGTCCTTTAATATTAAAATACACTTAGACAGTGTATATTATATATGATCCAAGTATATATATATATATATATAAAATTGTATTTTAAAAGGTTTTTAAACTTTTATTTATTTTTTTCAGGCAGCAGGGGGAGTACCTGTAATTTCGGGCACTCCCCCTGCTGGCACTGCTGTGGACGGCTATGTCGTCCATGTGCTCGTGAGGTCCTCGCAAGGACCTCGCGATCACATGGCCCAGGAGGGCCGGAACGGCAGCAGGGATGCCAGGTGAGTCCCCCCACCGCAATCGCTGGCGTGGGATAGATGGTGACCAGGTAACTGAATAGGACAGCGGGGACGTGCTATGCCGCCCACCGGCGTTTAGAGCCGGGTCCCGAAGGACGGCATAGCACGCCCGCCGTCCTTACGGGGTTAAAATGAATGTAAAATTCAAGTTAACCAAAAATCAGTAAAACTGAAAGCATAGCGGAGAGAATTTTGCCAGTTTTGGCTATATTCATTACTTTGAATTTGAAATTTACTTTGAATTCTCACTTTGGTAAATATCCCTAATAGTTTGCGGATGCGTTATTTCTCACAGTTCTGTATGCACAGCCTATATGTGCGTATAGCTCTTCTGGACAAAATGCCCATTGTGCATGGTTGCATTTGGTAATCCTCCAATAGATGCCCAAGCAAGGCATGTGTTCGCCAGAGGCATCATGGAACTGTGATCTTGCCGCAGCAAGGAAGTGCAGGGAAGGCAAGCACGTTTGTTTGTTTTCTAACTTCCACAGCTCTTTTAAACTCAATTAATGTTAAAATAGCATTAACTGGAATGCAGAAACAAAGTTAGTCACTGAGCAATATATAAGAATCTCTTTGTTTTGATTTACTGGTATTTAGTTACACATGCTAACCCATTATGCATGGTCATATACATAAAGGGGTTTATTTACTTAAATGGCCATTGTGGAGACTAGACAACTGCATGGCAAATTATAGACCAAAGTATTTGAAACAGGAAGAAAAACTAACAAAAAAGAAGACTCCAAACCCCAACTTTCAGAAAACTCTAACATAAATTGTTATATATACACACACAACACGCAGGCTCCCAAAGAGTGTCAATTTAGCCTTGGAAGACATTCACCCCTGTTGTCATGCTCTGGCAAGTAACTCTTACTAGAGAATTGTAGCTCAACCATTTAAAATCAGAGTGCTAAAAGGCTGGGCTATGTAACTTCAAACATATAGATAAATACAGATTATTATTGGAATAGCCAGAAAATAATATAATTTGCTGTAGGATGCTACATTGCTTAAAAAAAGTGATGTCACTGAGGTTTCATGGCTCAATTTTTATTTTGATGCCTTTCCCTAAAAACCGGGTTAAAGATGGGTGTGAAGACAAGTCGGAGGGAACCTAAGGCAAACCTGGCAATGATTTATGTTTGCTTGACTTAATTATAGCTTCATAGAACCAGTAGAGATTTAGCTGGTGAAAGAGCAAGTAAATAAAAGATTATGACACTTTGCTGTTCGATCATTTTAGGAGAAATAGGGAGGGACGCAGCGGCTTTAAATAACTAGTTATTCAAAGGGCTGAAAGCTTACATTTAATCACTAATGTGCAAGATTTGTAAATAAAAGTAAAAAAAATTTTAAACAAATTGACAGTGACATTTTTTTTTTGTCATATAAGTAATGCTAGGTTTCAAATTAGAGGTACAACCACATTTGTCGTGTGAGTTCACAGCCACAATTATTTATAACAGAGTCTGGAGATGTGAAATTTAGAAGAAGAAAAAAAAAAAAAAAGTTAGAAGTCTTTCTACTATAAGATTATATAGTAGAGTCACACACACACACACAATAAATATATATGTACACACACTTAAATACAGGTGTACTACATAACACACGGGAAAATATATTTATGATTTATATATAAAAATAATCATAGAACTACAATTAATTAGTTATCGTAATGAGTCGTCTAATAGTAAATACGAAAATCAAAGCATTAGTATCACTTCTGGGTTTTTCATTACAATAGAACTGCTATGAAAATCAGATTTTTTTATTTAACAATTTAAATAGCTTTCCGCTGCATGAGACATAAAAGATATATACAGCAACCCTGAATGATCATTTCGGTCTTTGATTTAGTCGGTACCCTCTAGGCATACTGAGCCCAGGGTCCATGTCTGGACTTCTATTTTAACCTAGGGAGAGCCAAAGTCAATGCATTGCAGCAAAAACAGACAATAAGAGAACTCCCTATATTAAAAGGGTAATTAAGACATGTTCCCCGATCTCACTATGTCTATAAGGCCCAAAGAAGGCTGAAACTATTGTCTGGAGGTGCATGCATAGGGGACATACTGGCATTTCAGGTCTGTATTGTCCTTTTGTGACAGGCTCTCTCAGTAATGGCAAGATTGAGCAAAAACAATTTTGACATTTGAGTGGGGATTAATCAAAGGGCAAGCTGCAGAGTTTCTCTAAGCTTTTGCCAGTTCTCAGAGTTCTCATATTATTGGTTTTGCTTCAATTATGGGCTAGAGCAGTGGTACCCAACCAAGTTCTCAAAGCTCACCAATCACAATTTCTTAGCATCCCCACACTGGGACCAAATAGAGAATACCATAATTCTGGACCATGGGTGTTCTTGGAGGATCTGGTTGGCAACCACTAGCCTAGAGAAGGTAAAGATTCAGGTAAGCTTCTCTCCAATCGCCTTAACCTTCAGATGCCACCACAGAAGTTCGTGATGGGAGGGGAGAGTATTTTGTTAAAAAAAAAAATGAAAAGAACAAAAGAATCCTCAAGCGAAAAATACTGCTTCGAGTTGAACACTGCTGGACTACAAAAATACAAAACATCTTTATCTCCTAGGGGTGATCTTTAT